TCTCAGTTTTCACTTGTTTTTTACTACAAAAAAATAAAGCAATATTGCTGTTCCGAGGAATTCAGAAAGCCCACAACTCCAGCCAAAAAATCTGGAAGACTGGTGAGATTTAAAATAAAGGCACACTCATTTACAGAGCAAAGCTGCAGTGTTACTGCTTTTCTGTGCCTCAGTTTCTCCCCCATAAAATGTCAGTGCTGACCCAAACTGTCAGGGGAGCTTATGGTCTCATTAAGGGCAGAATGTTTTTAACATTATAGTTGTTTGCACAGCTAGCAGTGCTAACCTTACGTAGCACCCTGCAGGACCCTTGAAAGGATCTCAAGGTACCTCAGGGTGCCACAGTGCCCTGGCTGAGTCTCGTTGCTGTAAAGTCAATACAGAGCAGCTGAAAAATAATTGGGGAAAGACCTTGGACCCTGGAAAATGCCACATATGTCTTGTCACTGGTTTGGACCAAGGGGCTCTTTTAGGGTTTGGGCTCCAACAGATTCAACAAATCTGTTTTGTGAGAGAACGTATAGCCATTCTTTGGCCTTCCAAAGGTAGCTGGATCTCGCTTCTGTGAATATAGGCTGGTACAAGTGATTAGGGCACTAGCCTGGGACTTAGGAGACCAGGTCCAGGCCTACGTTATACCAGTACTTTGTGCACGAGCTTGGGTACATCAGCTTCTCTGAGCATAATTCGGGGGGGAGGGGGACAGTTTATTCCTCTAAATGGCAGGTTTCTAGCCATGCAGGTGGCCTTCTGGGGATTTACTTGCAGGTAACAATTTTGTTTTCCCTGCAAGTATACATGTGGATTGGGAATGCACAAATAGGCTGTGCTCTTGTGGCTATGTACCCTATTGGATACTTACCTGTGTTTAAATAATGAAATGCAACCTGCTAGAAAACCAGGACTAGCAGATGTTAGACCTCAGGAGAAGTCCAATTTCAGCCCTTGCATCTGCCTGTGTAGGTCACTTGCCCAAGCAGCCAGAGACCCCCTCACCCAATGTAGGTAGTTGAACCTATCTCTGTGACTTGCCAGCACAGCGATCTAGCTGCCATGTCACAGTTTGGGCACTAGCCAGACCT